AAGTTTCAACTGGTCCAACGGATAGCAGCGAGATTCCTCACTGGAGCGGGGTACAGGGAGCACACCACCCCCCCTGCTATGTCAGCTCCACTGGCTGCCAATTTGCTTACGAGCAGAATTTAAAGTGCTGGCTTTAGCCTATAAAGCCCTAAACAGTTCCGGCCCAGTTTACCTCTATGAACCATCTAAGACCTTAAGATCATCGGGGGAGGCCCTGCTCTCAATCCCACCACGTTCACAAGCATGACTGGTGGGGACGAGAGACAGGGCCTTCTCAATAGTGGCTCCTTGGCTGTGGAACTCCCTCTCAAACGATATCAAATCTGCCCCTCTCTCCTGGTATTCCGAAGAAAAATTAAAACCTGGCTTTGGGGTCAAGCCTTCAAACAATAAATACCACAATGGAATATAACTGACCTGTGTGACCGGCAATGGATTGATCCTGGAAAATGATTTCAAACTGGCGATTTTAAATTTTTGTAATTTTGGTGCATTTAAAATTGTTTTAATTGTTTAATTGTTGGTTAGTGTTAATTGTTAGTACAATGTTTGACATCTAATGGTTGCCTTCTGTAAGCTGCCTTGAGCCCCCCCCCCCCTCGAGGGGTGTGTGAGAAGGACGGGGTATAAAAGCTTGAAATAAGTAAATAAATCTATAACTCCTCCCACTTCAAAGAGGTAAGTCAAACTGGCAAATCAACATACACATAGAATATAGGTTAACAAATATATACATTAGCAAACAGTTAGCGGAGGCCTGGAAGGTTTCTATTTCCAACAGTATCTTAGTTTACTTTGGTGGGATACCGGGGGCTGACATCACAACCAGCTGATTGAATAAAATACCTCGATGGCTTCTTCTTCAACTTGGTGAGATTTATTCTGAAATACTGGCTTCTTCGTCTCGCCAGGCTCTGCCCACAGCAGCCTAGTGGCTTGGATCTCACTATCCACGGCCGCTCTAAATTGCTCTATTTCACAAGTGCCACATTTCTCAGTCTGTTTCCTCTCCCATTACGCCCCGAGTTATGTCTGAATGAGAAAAGCTGGTCTGTCTCCAGCCAACAAAGCATACATTCAAGCTCCAAATGCACAAAGTTTCCTATTAGGAGCAGATGTCGGCTCTTTGGACAACATTCATTCCCTGCCAAGTTTTCAGGTTTTTCAAAACATCTTGTCCCGATTAAAGGAGTTGGCCGTTCCAAAATACGTTGATGTTGATCATCTTATGAATGTGCAATCATTCCATGCTTTTTTTTAAAAAAAGGAGAGTAGATTTTTTTTAACTCTTGGAAGAACTTGGATGGGAGCTGCCTTTGGCCAACCGCAAAGCGGCTCTCTGGCACAAAGATGATAGGATGGCCGTCTGTAGGAAGGCCTCAGATGGTGCCTTCCTGCCTTGGAGAAGTTGTTTTGTGGCACAAAGTTTGAGCCCTTTTATGCTGGTGCTTTGTATGATTCTGTGTCTGAATGAGTGTTGAAATGGTTTGGCACGTACTCATCGACAGGCACGCACTTTGACTGATTTCTTTCCCCATATTTTGTTTTTATCTGATTTTATTTTAATCTGTATGTGGCCACTGAGCCCCCAGTGGCGCAGTGGGTTAACCGCTGAGTTGCTGAACTTCTTACAGAACAGTTGCAGGTTAGAATCCAGGGAGCGGCATGAGCTCCTTCTGTTAGCCCCAGCTCCTGCCAACCTAGCAGTTCGAAAACATGCAAATGTAAGTAGATCAATAGGTACCACTCCAGCAGGATGATCATGGCACTCCATGTAGTAATACCAGCCACATGAGCTTGCAGGTGTCTATGAACAACACTGACTCTTCGGCTTAGAAATAGAAATGAGCACCAACCCCCAGAGTCCGACATAACTGGACTTCATGTCAGGGGGAAACTTTTACCCTTACCTATGCAGCCTTGATCCAATCATATGAACCATACGTCAGGACCAAGCTTCTTGAACAACTAGGATGGGGATAAGCAACATGTGAAGCGAGAGAATAGACTGAAGACAGGGGAAAGGGCAGAGAGGGAAGGAAGGAAAGATGGGAGGAAGGGAGGGAAAGAGAGAGAGAAAGGGAGTAAAAGAAAGAAGAAAGAAAAAGAAAAGAGAAGGGATGAAAATAAAGAAAAAGAGAGGGGAAGGTAGGAAGGAAACTAAGAGAAAGGAATAGAGGGAGAGAAAGAGGAAAAGAAAGAGAACAAGGAAGAAAGGGAAGGGAAGGAAGGAAGCAACAAGAAATAAAGAAGAAAGAGAGGAATGGAGGAAGGAAGGAAACTAAAAGAGAGAAGGGAGGAAAGGGAAGGGAGGAAGGGAAAGAAAGAAAAATGGAAGAAGGAAGAAATGAAAAGAAGGAAGGAAGGAAAAGGGAAAGGTAAGAGGGAAGGAAGAAAGGAAAAAACTAGGAGTTAAAGAGGAAGGGAGAGAAGGGAGGAAAAGAAAGGGAGGAAGGAAAAGAAAGAAAAATAGAAGTAGGAAGAAAGGAAAAGAAAGAAAGAAAGAAAGAAAGAAAGAAAGAAAGAAAGAAAGAAAGAAAGAAAGAAAGAGAGAGATGAGAGGCAAGAGAGGAGGAAGAAAAGTGAGGAGAGAAAGAGAGGCAGGGAGAGAAGGGAAGAAAAGGAAGGAAGGAAAAGAAAGAAAAATACAAGAAGGAAGAAAAGAAAGAAAGTGAGGAAAGAAAAAAAGAGAAAGAGAAGAAGGGATGAAGAGAAAAAGAGGAAGGGAGGAAGGAAACGAAAAGAGACAGAGAAAGAGAGAAAGGAAGAGGGGAGGAAAAGAAAGAGAAAGAGAAGAAGGGAGGAAGAGAAAAAGAAAAGGAAGTAAGAAGAAGAAGCAGTAGCTTTGTTTATACCCTGCCCCTTTTCCCTGAAGAAACTTGAGGCAGCTTCCAACAATCAACAGATACATAAAATAATATAGCAATAGACCATAAACAACAATAAATATAACTTCATACAACTAAAATAACACAATCATATAAACATGAATAAATAACCGTTTTAAAGGTAGTTGCCCTCTAAAAACAATATAAACTCCATTTTAAACCAGTCTATTCCTATTATCAAGTCCTGTCCGATAATTAGGTAATATTCAGGATGGCCTACCTATTAGGCTTCGCTGTACTCACTGACGTTTTTCTTTTTGTGTTCATGGATCCCCACTGAAGTTCTGCTTGACTTCCATATCAGAAGGCTGACAATGTCCTTGTTGCTGAGCACATTTGGTCTTCTCATTTGTGCTGGGTTCTATACTTTTAGTGGTTTAGGCAATTGATCCATTAGCAATTTTCAGTTTGGAAGCTCCTCGCCCCTCTTTAGTTATTTGTGCCTCAGGGGTATCTGGGATCACAATCAAAGAAACTCTGGACAGAGGCTGTTCTCTGTTTGTAGATGGGTTTTGAGATGCTCATTGTAACCTTTTTTTCCACAGGTGGTGGTTTTTGAGGATTCATGAGGAAGAACTTCTTAACTGTGCGCCAGCTGCGCCCGTACCTTGGGAAGTCTGACTTGGCCACGGTAGTCCACACTCTGGTTACATCCCGTATAGACTACTGCAATGCGCTCTGCGTGGGGTTGCCTTTGAAGACTGTCTGGAAGCTTCAATTGGTCCAATGGACGGCAGACAGATTACTAACAGGAGCGACGCTCAGGGAGCATACAAGTCCTCTGCTGCACCAGCTCCACTGGCTACCATTCTGCGACTGGGCACAATTCAAAGTGCTGGCTTCAGCCTATAAAGCCCTAAATGGTTCTGGCCCAACTTAGCTGTCTAAACACATTTTTCCTGATGAACCATCTAGGACTTTAAAATCATCTAGGGAAGCCCTGCTCCCGATCCCTCCTGCGTTACAAACACGTTTGGTGGGGACGAGAGACAGGGCCCTCTGAGTGGTGGCCCTTCAGCTATGGAACGCCCTTCCTGGGGACATTAGATTGGCCCCCTCCCTCTTAACATTTTGGAAGAGAGTCAAGACTTGGTTGTTTGAGCAACTGTTGAAAATGCAAGGTAAAACCATAGGAATTGGAACGACTGGACGACGAGATGGAACAATGTTTTTATTAGGAGATGCAAATGATGTATGCTTTTAGGTCTTGTTGTGGTTTTATATTATGTGTTAATGTTTTTAAATGTTTTGTGGTGTTTTGGGGCATTGTTGCCATTGTAAACCGCCCTGAGTCGCCTAAGGGCTGAGAAAGACGGTATACAAATATAGTAAATAAATAAATAAATAAATAAATAAATAAATAAATAAATATACGGTGAGAGCTGTTCAGCAGTGGAACTCTCTGCCCCAGAGTATGGTAAATGCTCCTTCTTTGGAGGCTTTGAAACAGAGGCTGGATGGCCATCTGTCGGGGGTGCTTTGAATGCAATTTTCCTGCTTCTTGACAGAAAAGGGTTGGACTGGATGGCCCACGAGGTCTCTTCGAACTCTAGGATTCCAGAATTCTGTGAAGTGCAGTTCAGCACTGAACCTCTCCTTAGCACTAATTTCTACTAGTGGTATATCTACAAGTAGTAAAGAGGAAGGAAGGAAAAATAGAGAAAGGAGGGAAAGAGAGGGGGAGAAGAAAGAGAGAAGGAAGGAAGAGAAAGAAAGAAAGAAAGAAAGGAAGGAAGGAAGGAAGGAAGGAAGGAAGGAAGGAAGGAAGGAAGGAAGGAAGGAAGAAAGAAAGAAAGAGGAAGAAAGAAAGTAAGAAAGAAAGAAATGAGAAAGAGGACAGCTAAGGGACAGCAAAGGAGCTAGCCAAGCAATGTGCAAAGCAAGTGAGCGTGACATTTGTTTCCTTGGACACTTGACAGAGACAAATGAAGCATTTGAAACGGGCATAGAAGCCGGGGGGAGAGAGAGAGAGAGAAGGCCAAAGAGGGTTGTTTCCAAGCCAAGTGCTGGAGTTTTCAACTGTAACTCCCAGCATCCCTACTTGTCCAGATTGCCCAAGAGCTGTGCTCCAAAGCATCTTGTGCCACCGGGTGTCATGAGTAGAGGCCTTACCTGGGTCGGGCTCAGCTCTTGGCCCAGCTCTTTCAGCACCACATCTCCATAAGCCACACGCAAGAGGTGCAAAGGCTTGGCATCTGCTTCCGAGAGGCACAGGGCCCCATCCCAGGCGCTCAGCTCCTGCGACATCACCTTCAGGGCAGAGACCTGAAACCAAGCAGCCAAGGGAGCCGAATGAGGACAAGCAAGGGCTGGGCTGGGATCCTGCCAAGGAGAGGCGTCTCAGAAGGGAAGAGGCGGAGAACTTTGGGAAACGCCTGCTTTGGGCCAGCTCTAGATGTAGCCTTTGGAAGCCCTTTCTTTCCTTGTTCTTGGGGAGTCTGGTGGCCTTCAGGCAATGTGGTTCACTGTGTGATCATATCTGCAATTGACAAATGGAATGGCTCCGGATTACAATTTTGGAATGCGTGGTTTTAAGACGTTGTTGTCTTAAGATGTTTTAACTCCATGATTTTCATGTAATTGTTTACTTTAATTTATTGTTGTTTTATATGGCATTTTTGTGTAAGGAGTGACTTAAGAAACTGCAAGTCGCTTCTGGTGTGAGGGAATTGTCCATCTGCAAGGACGTTGCCCAGATGCTTTGATGTTTTACCATCCTTGTGGGAGGCTTCTCCCATGTCCCCACATGGGGAGCTGGAGCTGACAGAGGGAGCTCATCAGCACTCTCTCTAGATTTGAAACTCCAACCTATCAGTCTTCAGTCCTGCCGGCCAGGGGCGGCTCAACCCATTACGCAAAGTAAGCATTCGCAGTATAGTTGATTTTGCCCAGGGGCGCTCTTGAGGCACTCTTGGAGGAAAATAGACCTTGACATATGTGAGTTGTAGTTACTGTAGAATGCTCAAAGAGCATTCTGAACTCCACCAATGATGGAATTGAACCAAATATGGCACACAGAACTCCCATGACGAACAGAAAATATATATCAATTATTGGGGGGGGGGGCAAAATACTGTTTGCTTACCATTGAAAATTACCTAGGGCCGTCTCTGCTGCCGGCACAAGGATTTAACCCATTGGGCCACGGGAGGCTCCTATGGTATTGAACTGTTGCCTAACTGTAAGGCAGCGCTGAGTCCGCAAGCTTCCAAGCAAGTCCCAACAAAAAGTATTGTTCATATAAATGTCCAATAGCTGGGAATAACAAAGGGAGAAAAATAGCCTTTCCAAGATGGTAGCATGGTATCATGTGACTGGAAACCACATGCTAGGGTGGCAAATGTCAGACAAATCTTCTCCTCAGTGGTAAATATCCACTAGTAACCATGCAAGGCAAATTAGGTTTCTCAGTTGTTAGACTGATATACCTGGTTATCTCTCTGAACCTTTAGGAACAAAGATATGCCAATACACAAAATATACAGCAGATCTTCAGAAGTGTTATTTAAGTTGCCCCACCCCCAAAAATTGACTCTTCCATAAAATATATGTTGTTCTTAAATCATGTTCTCAAGAGACCAAAAATAGGCAGTCTTTGTTAAAAGTAACATAATTGATTTACTTACAAACTTCATGCATTCGGCATACAGGTACATTGCTTATTGGGTGGGAGTTTAAACAGTAACTTCTCTAAAGCATTCAGTTTCAGTATCTTTATGGCATACAAACTAACACTCTCTTCAGTCTAACACAGCGTTTCTCAATCTGGGGGTTGGGACCCCGGGGGGGGGGGGGTCACGAGGGGCTGTCAGAGAGGTCGCCAAAGACTATCAGAAAACACAGTATTTTCTGTGGGGCATGGGAGTTCTGTGTGGGAAGTTTGGCCCAATTCTATCATTGGTGGGGTTCAGAATACTTTTTGATTGTAGGTGAACTACAAATCCCAGCAACTACAACACCCAAATATCAAAGTCTGTTTTCCCCAAACTCCACCAGTGTTCACATTTGGGCATATTGAGTATTCATTCCAAGTTGGTCCAGATCCATCATTGTTTGAATACACAGTGCTCTCTGGATATAGATGAACTACAACTCCAAAACTCAAGGTCAATGCCCACCAAACTTTCCCAGTATTTTGCGCTGCAATGCTCCAGTGGGATTCCTTCCCAGGTGATCCTCAGAGCTCGGGATGCTTGTCTGTTCTTGAGGTGAAAGGCACATGTCTGTGTTTTAGATGGGTTAGGGATCAGCTGGTTTTCCCTGTAATAGGCAGTAAGAGCACCTAGACCTTCGGAGAGCTTCTTTTTCTACCATCTCAAAGCTCCCTGCTTGAGCAGTAATGGCACGATCATCAGCATAGATGAAACTCTCTGTCCCTTCTGGCAGTGGCTGGTCATTTGTGTAGATGTTGAACATGGATGGAGCAAACACGCTCCCCCGAGGCAGGCCGTTCTTCTGTTTCCGCCATCTGCTTCTCTGGCCCTAGAACTCAACAAAGAGTTGACTGTATAATGAACGTTACTGTTTTTAATCTATTGTGTATTTATTGTTTATATTGTTGTTATATTGTGATATTGCGGCATCGAATTGTTGCCAGTGTTAGCCGCTCTGCGTCCCCCCTCGAGGGTTGAGAAGAGCGGGGTAGAAATGTTGCAAATAAATAAATAATTAATAAATAGGTTGACAGCAAGCTAGATTATTATTGGTTGGGAGCTTACTCCGACCTGGGCTGGCTTTGAACTCATGACCGCTTGGTCAGTAGTGATTTAATGCAGCTGGCTACTAACTAGCTGCGCCATACCCTGGTCCATTAATAATGAATGATAATAACAGTATTTATTTATTTATTTATACTCCGCTTTCCTCCCAGGACTGGGACTCAAAAGTAGTGCAAAATCCAAGATCCAAAACACTTCTGGTCCCACACCTTTAAGAAAAGGAAGACACAACCGTGTTGTTTACTAATCTATTTTAATACTGATGATTAATCAGGTATATTTTAATGGGTTGGCAGGCTTGTGTTAAAATATAGTTAAGTGATGATCAATTGTTTTGGCTGCCAAGTGGAAATCAGAATGTAAAACCCCTAGTTCAAGACCCAGAAAGTTTTTGCCTGCCTGACCTTGTTCTGGAAAAGGAACCATCTTGCATTGATCACAAATGGCCACCAGATGGCGCTATAAAATGCCTCTTGACCTTAAAGATAATATCTTCATTTCTGGGAAGGTTTTATTGTGTCCCCTGTATATACATATTCAAATGCACAAACATATACATATCCACATACATGGGCATGCTTGTCTATATGCATATTTGTGTGTATATATGTATGTATGTGGATATGTGGATATGTAGCCGTCCCCTGCTACACGTTGCTGTTGCCCAGTCTTTGTACATGTGTTTTGTGTGTGTGTGTATATATGTGTATATATATGTTTGCATATATATGTGTGTGTGTGTGTATTTGTGTATTTGTGTGTTTATATGTGTACATGCATATTGTGTATACGTACTTTACTTAGGCGATCCCTCACTTTCCGAGGATGATTGTCTTCCAGTGTTCTTGTGGGTCCGTATGTGGCTGTGGAGCCCTATTCTTGCTCTGCATCTTCTTCCGCAGTGAGGGCATTGGTTTCCAGGTGGAAGGCGGTCTCGGTCGGGGTTGGCTTGACGCGCCTTCCTCTTGGCGCGCTTCTCCCTTTTGCCCTCCATTTGTGCCTCCTCAAATTCTGCAGCACTGCTGGTCACAGCTGACCTCCAGCTGGAGCGGTCAAGGGCCAGGGCTTCCCAGTTCTCAGTGTCTATGCCAGAGTTTTTAAGGTTGGCTTTGAGCCCATCTTTAAATTTCTTTTCCTGTCCTCCAACATTCCGTTTTCCGTTCTTGAGTTCGGAATAGAGCAAATGCTTTGGGAGACGGAGGTCGGGCATCCGGACAACGTGGCCGGTCCAGCGGAGTTGATGGCGGAGGACCATCGCTTCAATGCTGGTGGTCTTTGCTTCTTCCAGCACGCTGACGTTTGTCCGCTTGTCTTCCCAAGAGATTTGCAGGATTTTCCGGAGGCAGCGCTGATGGAATCGTTCCAGGAGTTGCATGTGACGTCTGTAGACAGTCCACGTCTCACAGGCATATAGCAGGGTTGGGAGGACAATAGCTCTATAAACAAGCACCTTGGTATCCCTACGGATGTCCCGGTCCTCAAACACTCTCTGCTTCATTCGGAAAAATGCTGCACTCGCAGAGCTCAGGCGGTGTTGTATTTCGGTGTCGATGTTGACTTTGGTGGAGAGGTGGCTGCCAAGGTAGCGGAAATGATCAACATTTCTAATGTTACACCATTAAGCTGTATCACTGGCATTGGAGAAGGGTTGGCTGGTGTCTGCTGGAACAGCACTTTGGTTTTCTCGATGTTCAATGACAGGCCGAGCTTCTCGTATGCTTCTGCAAAAGTTTTAAAGTGGCTTGTAGATCTTCTTCTGAATGTGTACAGACAACATTGTCATCAGCATACTGGAGTTCTATAACAGATGTTGTTGTAACCTTGGTTTTGGCTTTCAGTCTGCTGAGGTTAAACAGCTTGCCATCTGTCCAATAGATGATTTTGACTCCGGAGGGAAGCTTCCCATCAACAAGGTGAAGTATCATAGCGATGAAGATGGAGAATAAAGTTGGGGCAATAACACATCCCTGTTTGACACCTGATTCCACCTTAAATGGGTCACTTTGGGAGCCATTGCTGTCCAAGACTGTTGCCATCATGTCATCATGGAGGAACTGCAGGATGTTCACAAATTTGTTTGGGCACCCGATTTTTTGGAGGATGGTCCAGAGAGCGCTGCGATTTACTGTGTCAAATGCCTTTGCAAGGTCAATGAATGCCATGTACAGAGGTAGGTTTTGTTCCCTGCATTTTTCTTGGAGCTGTTGTGCAGTGAAGATCCTGTCCACTGTTCCTCTGGAGGGGCGGAAGCCGTTCTGGGATTCTTTGAGGGTGTCTTCTGAGAGGGGCAGAAGGTGGTTTGCAAGGATTCTTGCGAGGATTTTCCCAGCTGAGGTTAGAAGGGAGATACCTCGATAGTTTCTGCAGTCTGTTCTTTCCCCTTTTTTGAAGAGGGTGATGATGGTGGCGTCCTTGAAATCTGCTGGGATTTTCTCGGTCACCCACACTTTTTCTATGAGCTGGTGGAGTTGTGTCAGCTCAGGTCCTCCCTCTTTAAAGATTTCAGCAGGGATCCCATCTGGTCCACTAGCTTTGTTATTCTTTTTTTGGCTGATGGCATTGCTGACTTCTTCCAAACTAGGCAGTGCTGCAAGCTCATCCCTGGTTTGTTGTTG